TTCTTCTAGGTCCTTGTTAAATGTTTCTTGCATTTTGTCTATTCTATTTCCAAGATTTTGGATCATCTTTACTATCATTATTCTGAATTCTTTTTCAGGTAGACTGCCTATTTCCTCTTCATTTGTTAGGTCTGGTGGGTTTTTATCTTGCTCCTTCATCTGCGGTGTGTTTTTCTGGCTTCTCATTTTGCTTATTTTACTGTGTTTGGGGTCTTCTTTTTGCAGGCTGCAGGTTCTTAGTTCCCGTTGTTTTTGGTGTCTGTCCCCCGTGGCTAAGGTTGGTTCAGTGGGTTGTGTAGGCTTCCTGGTGGAGGGGACTAGTGCTTGTGTTCTGGTGGATGAGGCTGGATCTTGTCTCTCTGGTGGGCAGGTCCACGTCTGGTGGTGTGTTTTGGGGTGTCTGTGGACTTATTATGATTTTAGACAGCCTCTCTGCTAATGGGTGGTGTTGTGTTCCTGTTTTGCTAGTTGTTTGGCATAGGGTGTCCAGCACTGTAGATGGTCGTTGAGTGAAGTTGGGTGCTGGCGTTGAGATGGAGATCTCTGGGAGATTTTTGCCGTTTGATATTAGGTGGAGCTGGGAGGTCTCTTGTGGACCAGTGTCCTGAAGTTGGCTCTCCCACCTCAGAGGCACAGCACTGACTCCTGGCTGCAGCACCAAGAGCCTTTCATCCACACGGCTCAGAATAAAAGGGAGAAAAAGTAGAGAGAAAGAATTAGTAGGAGTAGGAAGAAAGAAAGAACGGAAGGAAGAAAGAAAAGGAAAGAAAGGAGGGAGGGAGGGACGGTGGGAGGAAGGAAGGAAGGAAAAAAGGAGGGAAGGAAGGAAAAAAGAAAGAAAGAAGGAAGATAAAGTAAAATAAAATAGAGTAAAATATAATAAAGTTATTAAATAAAAAATAATTATTAAGAAAAAATTAAAAAAAACAAAAATGGACGGATAGAACCTTAGGACAAATGGTGGAAGCAAAGCTATACAGACAAAATCTCACACAGAAGCATACACATACACACTCACAAAAAGAGGAAAAGGGGAAAAAATCATAAATCTTGCTCTCAAAGTCAACCTCCTCAATTTGTGATGATTCGTTGTCTATTCATGTATTCCACTGATGCAGGGTACATCAAGTTGATGGTGGAGCTTTAATCCGCTGCTTCTGAGGCTGCTGGGAGAGATTTCCCTTTCTCTTCTTTGCTCTCACAGCTCCCATGGGCTCAGCTTTGAATTTGGCCCCGCCTCTGCGTCTAGGTCGCCGGAGGGCGTCTGTTTTTCGCTCAGACAGGACGGGGTTAAAGGGGCCGCTGATTCGGGGGCTCTGGCTCACTCAGACCCGGGGGAGGGAGGGGCATGGAGTGCGGGGCGAGCCTGCGACGGCAGAGGCCAGCGTGACGTTGTACCAGCCTGAGGCGCACCGTGCGTTCTCCCGGGGAAGTTGTCCCTGGATCCCGGGACCCTGGCAGTGGCGGGCTGCACAGGCTCCCGGAAGCGGGGTGTGTATAGTGACCTGTGCTCGCACACAGGCTTCCTGGCGGTGGCAGCAGCAGGCTTAGCGTCTCCTGCCCGTCTCTGGGGTCCACGCCTTTAGCCGCAGCCCGAGCCCATCTCTGGAGCTCCTTTAAGCAGCGCTCTTAATCCCCTCTCCTCGCGCACCAGGAAACAAAGAGGGAAGAAAAAGTCTCTTGCCTCTTAGGCAGCTCCAGACCTTTTCCCGGACTCCCTCCCGGTTTTCCGTGGTGCACTAACCCCTGCAGGCTGTGTTCACGCCGCCAACTCCAGTCCTCTCCCTGCGCTCCAACCAAAGCTCGAGCCTCAGCTCGCAGCCCCGCCCGCCCCGGAGGGTGAGCAGACAAATCTCTCGGGCTGGCGGTCGGCACCGATCCTCTGTGCAGGAATCTCTCCGCTTTGACCTCCGCACCCCTGCTGCTGCGCTCTCCTCAGTGGCTCCGAAGCTTCCCCCCGCCGCCACCCGCAGTCTCCTCCCGCAAAGGGGCTTCCTAGTGTGTGGAAACCTTTCCTCCTTCGCAGGTCCCGTCCCTATTCTTTTGTCTCTTGTTTTTTCTTTTGCCCTACCCAGGTACGTGGGGAGTTTCTTGCCTTTTGGGAGGTCTGAGGTCTTCTGCCAGCGTTCAGTAGGTGTTCTGTAGGAGTTGTTCCACGTGTAGATGTATTTCTGGTGTATCTGTGGGGAGGAAGGTGATCTCCGCGTCTTACTCTTCCACCATCTTCCCCTCGTTCCACTGTCTTAAGGTTTTTTATCTTAAACTTTTATTTCTTTATTTATAAGAAGAATACATGCTCAGTAAAGCAGTCATATCTAATACTAAAGTATAGGGGGAAAAATTAATTCCTTGACCCTGAGAGATCTACTGCCATTTTGGTACATACCTTTGTAGGCTTTCTTTTTTTGGTCTGTTTTCTGGCAGACTTTGTGGTAGCTAAGCAGGGGATTCTCATACTGGCCTCTGACTGTCACAGGGCCCCAGCCCATACTTCCCATAGGAAGCTTTCTCTCAAGGACTAATTCCTGCCCCTAAGTGGAGGGGAATGGTTCTTAGTTGGTGCTTTGGACAACAGTGCTGTGGAGAGTGCCTCTTTGTGGATGGAGGCAAGACCCCAGGGATCTGAGGCTAAGGAATCCCTCCCTTGACCTTGTCACTTACATTTCTCTGCCACAGTTACACAACAGCCAACGCTGAGTCTGACTATGAGCGGGACTCTGAAAGGGAGAGTGATGACGACGGGGAAGATGAAGTGAGCTGTGAGACTGTGAAGATGGGGAGAAAGGATTCTCTGGACCTGGAGGTGGCTTCAGGCCTGGCACCTGAAGCCCTGGAGGCTGGTGGCTCCCCTGGCCCAGAAGATGTGCTGGCCCTCCTGCAGCAGGCAGACGAGCTGCGCCAGGGCAGTGAGCAGGGCAAGCGGGAGGGCTTGCAGCTGCTGCTCAACAACAAGCTGGCGGTGAGGCTCCAACTGCCTGTCTGTCCTCCGTCCCCCACTAACCCCCCGCGAATGTGTCACTGACCCTGCGAGGTGACATGGGAAGGGAAGTGAGGGTGAGGTGGCTAGGTCTGCATCTACACCCAGGGTTGTACATCCTCTTCCTGGAAGGCTGAGCGCCGGCCCTGTGTGCTGCCTGCCCCAGAGCTGCTTTCTCTGCCAGCCCCAGGGCAGTCGGCTGCCTCCTGTAGAGGTACTGTAGAAGAGCTCCTCCTCTCACCTTAAGGAGAAATGTGGAAAGAACTAGAATGTTTTTCCCTCTTTTATTTCCCTTGAGGCAGAGCCACAGCTGCCTACCCCATTTAAAGTTTTCATCACAAGTGACAAGTGTTAGGTCACTAGGTCACTCAACCACAATTCCCTTCTCAGGTTCACTGCCACAATTTATGCTCACCTGGCTATAAATGCCCCCAAAGTTAGAATTTCCCTTTTCTTGGGCATTTTCACAAATTTTTCATTGTTAGCAAGACTTCTCTCTTGTTGTGCCTCATTACATGTTGGAATTGACCTTTCTTCCTCACAGTATTAGAAGGCCAGAGTGCCCTCACTCTGTGGGTTGTGCAATCTATTGACTAGGGATAATGTCATCAGCTAACTGCAGGTGAGAGGTCATGTGGGGTGGCCTGATGTCAGTGTTTATAATACACTCAAAGGTAGGGTGTGGGGTGAAGGTCGAGCCCCAGTTCTCTGCAGCTGAGAGAAGGGGGCCTCATCCCTCTGTTTGGTTTGCAGCATGGAAGCCAGCAGGACTTCCTCTGGCGCCTGGCCCGGGCCTACAGTGACATGTGTGAGCTTGCTGAGGAGGCAGGTGAGAAGAGGTCCTATGCCCTAAGTGGTAAGTGCTGACAGGTTCCTGGTGGGAAGGCCACCAGGCTTCTGACTCTGAGGGTGGAGCCAGCCCATCAGCTTGGGGCCCAGGGGAACCACCAAAACACACGCTGTCGGTACAGCTGGGGCTCTACTACTCTTTGGGACAGACTGGCTCCCAGAGACCCCTGCTTCCTCCTGGAGACAGAGAGCAACCTCTGCTTCTCTGCATGGCATGGTGCTTGAGTCACACGGGTATACACGACTTTAGGAGTACAGTTGAACCTTGAACAACAGCAGTCTGAGCAGCACACGTCCACTTATATGTGGATTTTTTTCAATCCACAATCCATGGTTGGTTGGACCCAACTATAAATTACATGTGGGGCTTCCCTGGTGGCGCAGTGGTTGGGAGTCCGCCTGCCAATGCAGGGGATACGGGTTTGTGTCCCAGTCCGGGAAGATTCCACATGCCGCGGAGCGGCTGGGCCTGTGAGCCATGGCCGCTGAGCCTGCGCTCCGCAACGGGAGAGGCCACAACAGTGAGAGGCCCGCGTACCACACACACACAAAAAAAATTACATGTGGATTTCTGACTGGGCAGAAGGCCAGTGCCCCGAACCCCCACGTTGTTCAAGGTCAATTGTAGTTGTATCATATTAGCACAGTTCTGTGTTCTCATTCCTCAACTACAAAAGGCACAACCTTTCTTAATCTGAGGTTTTTTTGCTGTTGCTTAGGAATCTGGTTTCAGTTATGGAGCCTGTGGGGCAGGTGTTTAAGAATATGAGTGGAGTATGTTTGGTGAGTGCCCAGAAGGAGCAGTTTGGGAGAATACTGCTAGGTTAGAAGTCCCTGGGGTCTACTTAGCAACTCTGTTGTCAAAGTGTGTACCTGGGGGTATAGGGTACATCTGACTTGTGCCAGGTTCAAGTCCTGTCCTTCTCTGTCATGGGGTCATTGAGAACCCTGGGACTTTAAAAAGAGACTGGTTTTATGGGGAAGGTGATGTGTCCTGCCTACCTACACACCCTTTGAGTCAGGCACCATCAGTGGACTTCCAGATCTTGTGGTTCAGTTATCCAAAGTTAGCTGAACTGCTTTCCCACTTTTATAAGTACAGTCCTGCAAACATTGAATCTTTGATAATGTAGAGTGACAGTACCTCAAGATCATTATTCTAAACAGTTATAGAATTCTGCCAATACAGAAAGGTCAATTGAGTTGAATGTTTGATATAGATCTTCAAAAAAGTCCCTGGAGGGGCTTCCCTTGTGGCACAGTGGTTGAGAGGCCTCCTGCTGATACAGGGAACACGGCTTGCTTCTTTCTTTTCAAAAGTTTCTGCTTCCCCTCTTAAATTTCAGGTGAGGATTCTGATCAGCCTTTGGGGCGGATTTTTGCACTCTTGGTAGCAACCACCTTTCCTTTCCCTTTTGATCATCTCTGAGTACTAACAGGCAACATGAACCCTACCGGTGGGGGTAGGGCAGTGATTAGAGGAGCAGCGAAGCCCACACTGGTCTGGTCTGGCTTCCCGAGTATAGCACCTTGGACAAATCTGTCCCTCCTCGAGCTTAGAGGACTATGCAGTATCTTTGAAGACTCTGCTCTGGGATTCTAGATTTTTAGGACCAACCTTGCTGGGCCTAAAGTTCTTCATTTTGTTCTTTCTCTAGAAGCTGGACCACCAGGAGGCAGTGGGAACTGGTTTGACTCATTCTTCACCGTTGTTTTCCTAGTGAGATAGTGCTTTGAAGGGGGCGGAGAAGTCCCCTAAGAGAAAATGTCCCTCAGTGGTGGAGCCGTATGGTTCTTCTGCTTGGATAGGGGAACGTAGGGTTCTCATCTGCTCTCTTTAAATGTATTTGTTGCATATACAAAATTATACCATGATTACTGTCACTTAAACATGAGGAAACATTTCAGAATGGCCAGCCTATCACCTCAACCCATTACTTTTGTTCTCTGACTTCCCTTCCAAGCCCTCACCATTTAAAAATTTTTATCTTAAATTTTATTATAGTTGACTTACAATGTTTCAGACGTACAGCAAAGTGATTCAGTTATACATATATATACTTTTCCAGTTTCTTTTCCATTATAGTTTATTACAAGATATTGAATATAGTTCCCTGTGCTATACAGTAGGTCCTTGTTTACTTAATATGTAGTAGTCTGTATCTGTTAGTCTCAAATTCCAAATTTATCCCTCCCCCCTTCTTTCCCCTTTGGTAACCAGTTTGTTTTCTATATGAGTCTGTTTCTGTTTTGTAAATAAGTTTACTTGTATCTTTTTTAATTTTTTAATTCATTTATTTATTGGCTGCATTGGGTCTTTGTTGCTGCGTGTAGGCTTTCTCTAGTTGCGGCGAGTGGGGGCTGCTCTTCATTGTGGTGCAGGGGCTTCTCATTGTGGCAGCTTCTCTTGTTGTGGAGCACAGGCTCTAGGTGCCTGGGCTCCAGTAGTTGTGTCACACGGGCTCAGTAGTTGTGGTGCGTGGGCTCAGTTGCTCCGCGGAATGTGGGATCTTCCCGGACCAGGGCTCGAACCCGTGTCCCTTGAATTGGCAGGTGGATTCCCAACCACTGTGCCACCAGGGAAGTCCCTATTTGTATCATTTTTATACATTCCACATATAAGTGATATCATATGATATTTGTCTTTCTCTTCATTTAGTATGATAATCTCTAGGTCTATCCATGTTGCTACAGATGGCATTATTTCATTCTTTTTTTTTTTTATGGAAGCCCTCTGTTCTAATCAGATTTCCCATTATGCATTGTTCTCTTTTCCCGTGTGTAGGCATGATAGTCCTCATCTGAAGGGCTCCAGCTCCTTGACATTCTAGGGGACCCTTGTCAAGAGCCTACATGTGTTTAGGGCTTGATTTCTGTTAGTTTTGGTGCCTGGAAAACTTGGGGAAGAACTACATGAAACTCATCTTTGGTCAGATCCCAGTCCATTTGGCTTGGTGAGGAGTTCTGGCCTAGGGCCATGATTAATGTTCCTAGATCATGGATCCTCTTGAGAATTTTTTTTTTTTTTTTTAATGTTTATTTGTTTGGCTGCACTGGGTCTTCGTTGCTGCACGCAGGCTTTCTCTAGTTGCGGCGAGCGGGGGCTACTCTTTGTTGTGGTGCACGGGCTCTAGGTGCACAGGCTTCAGTAGTTGTGGCACATGGGCTTAGTTGCTCCAAGGCATGTGGGATCTTAGTTCCCTGACCAGGGCTCGAACCTGTGTCCCCTGCATTGGCAAACGGATTCTTAACAACTGCGCCACCAGGGAAGTCCCCCTCTTGAGAATTTGATCAAAGCTGTGGATCCTCTCCTCAATAAAATGCACATATACCTAAAATTACATACAACTTCAGTGGGATTCATGGACACCCTGAAGCCTATCCAGACCCCAAAAACTCTCCAGGGTAACGGTCTATTGGGGACAGTTTCTGATTGCTTTTGAGTCCTTTTATATTTGAAATGCTTCAAGCATATCAGGTGGGTATTATAAAAATAAGGGAGCTGGGGCAGCTGATGATGGATAGCGAGAACAAAGTGAAGCAGGAGTCACCCTTGCAGCTCTTCATTCTGCTCAAGTGCATAAGTATTTACAAGTCCTATTTGGGTGGGGGTTGGTGAGAGCTAAAGCAGCCATTCTTCCCACAGCCTTTCCCGTGGAAGGGTGCATGGGAGCCCTTGTCAACTCTGGATCACCTCTGTCTTACAGGAAAAGCAGCAGCGGAGGCCGCTCTGGAGAAGGGGAATGAGAATGCTGAGTGTCACCAGTGGTAATAACACCCCGCAGGGTCCCAGGAAGAGCCAGCATGGGTTAGAGTGGAGGAGAGCCCTTTTCTTTCTCTGCCCTGTGGCCAAAGAGGCATTTGCCAGAGGCACCAGGAGAGGGAGCTCTGGCCTTTATTTTCATATGTCCCATCCCTCCCCAAGCTAGGGACCCAGGGGAGTTTGCTTTGGGAAGTGCCTTGGGGATGAGGCAAGGGGGAATAGTACAGTTTTCTTTCTGGTGAAGCTTGGAGAAACGAGCTTTTGTTAGTCACCCCTGGCTACAAAACTTGTGGGTTCTTGGCTCCTCAGAGAGGCTGGGACGTTGGCAGTTCCCCTCTACCACGCAAGCTCTTCATTCCCCTAGCTGCGATCCCTGGCTGGTGGTGGACTTTGGCTTCTTCGCTTGGCTCGTGTGAGGAAAAGTAGATGTGAGCTCACCCCCCAGGAAGTTCAGCAGTCACTAATGTTACAAAACCATCAGCCCTGTTTGTGGTCTGACGTGAGGCAAAGTTCTGCCAACCCATGTAGGTCAGGGCCAACCTGTGTCCTGGGGGCGTGGTTCCAGTGCCTCAGTTTTAGTGAAAATGTTCCTTTTCCACCTCCCTGCATCCCATAACCCTGCCCTCAGACTGTGAGCTGGGAGAGGCTGTTTCTCTATCTGTTGCTGAAACTTTGTCTCTGCAGCGCCTCTTCTCAGACGCCAGGTCATTGTTTCTTGGGTCTCACAGGTGCTGTTTCCCTGTGGGCTCTCTTGGGGCTCCTGGGGTCCCAAGGATGGAAATTGACCTCATACTTTCTTAGCTTTTCCTGGGGAACAGCTGTTTGGACTAATCTGGAAATGAGCCTCTGGAAGTATGCGATACAAATACCCCCAGATATTTAGTGAGTACACAAAAAAGCAACTTGGGCCTTTAGACACTCATTTGTCAACTGTGCTTCTAGAAAGAATGCAGAGGGGATGGGGGTAATATCTTCTGCCTTTGTTTCTGAAGGCGGAAGATAGGAAGCTGGCTGCCTTTGTTCTCCTGGGAGGGAGGATGTAGAGGAGAGGGCTGAAATCGGAGGCCTTTTCTTCCTCCTCTGCTTCTGTTGGTTCCCAAGCTAACATTAGAAATTCCTAGAGAATCCCATTCCCAAACAGCTTCCCAATGACATACCTGTATACTTCCCAAGGCTAATGAGACCTTCTTCTTTAATGTCTGCTCAGGAGACAAAAAGCAGTGTACTCAGGTCTCTCATACTTTGATGCTGATTTTTAGATACCTGCTTAAGTGTTTATGATAGCTATGGCTATACTCATTATGAGGGGAAATTTGGACTGAGACCTTGCCTAAATATTAAGTATAAGAGAGCTTTAATGTGGAAGACCCACCTTTTTTGTACCTAGGGTACTTTGGAGAATTGTGAGCCTACCACTGTATCTGCTAAAGAATATGAATTGGGACCACAGGTCTGTGAAAAGAGGAATTAAGTACAGATGGAAATGATATTTTCATCTCTGGATAAGGATGCAGGGGCAATGCAATTGCCCATGGGTGGGAATCCCAGTACTGGCAGGGACGGTACTCAGTCCTTGTCCCTGAGCTTGCTGCTGCTTCCCCCTAGGTATGCAGTGCTTTGTGGTCAGCTGGCTGAGCATGAGGGCATCCAGAGGCGCATCCAGAGTGGCTTTAGCTTCAAGGTGAGGAAAGGCTTCTCCTCCTTCCCTGGTGCTGGTCTAGTCCAGATTCCCTGCTGCATCCTAGCTCCTTGCAAAGGTGTTCCTACAGCCTCTGTAACTTGCTTCTGTTCCCTTAGTAATTCTGCTATCTGATGTTAGCTTCTATTTATATTTTCCCCTCAGGAGCATGTGGACAAAGCCATTGCTCTCAAGCCAGAAAACCCCATGGCATACTTTCTCCTTGGCAGGTGGTGCTACCAGGTAAGCTAAATTTCAGGGCTTGACATAAGGGCCCTAACTAACTGTCCTGCGACACTGATCACCTTGCAAGGAAGAGAAGGGTCCTCAGCCTGGTCTGGCTTATGTGTTATTTCCTCTAAGCGGTCACGTTAGTGGTGATTAGACCCAGTCCCATTTGGCCCTGTTTGCTTTCAGTACAGAACACTCAGTGTTCCTAAAGATACTTAGGTTTTAGTCACACCTTGATCTCTTGGTGGCAGGTCTCTCACCTAAGCTGGCTAGAAAAAAAAACTGCGACAGCCTTGTGTGAAAGCCCTCTCGGTGCCACTGTGCAGGACGCCCTCCAGAGCTTCCTAAAGGTATTGGGGAAGGAAGGGAAGGGTGGACAGCAGCCAGAAAGGCCAGGGTGACCTTATTTTTCCTAAGGACATTATTGGAAGGGGTTTCTAGTAGAGGGCAGTTTTATGTGTGCCTGTTCTATGGGAAAATCAGAACCATCAGAAAAGCTTATAAAAAATATAGATTCACTGAATCAATCTCCAGGTTGGGGACTGGAACTCTCTAATAAACTTTAGCCTGACTTGGACTTTGGAACACCTTACTGAAATGTGTTCTCCCTTCTCCAGGCTGAAGAACTACAGCCAGGATTTTCCAAAGCAGGAAGGATATATATTTCCAAGGTAAACTCACCTGCCTATTTCAAGTATGTGTGTTGATATTTCTAGGAATTCCTGAGGGCACACATATTCATCCCCTTCTAGTCTCCTGGTGGCATTTCTCGCAGGTTTTCACTGTTGTCTCTTCTCAGTGCTACAGAGAACTAGGGAAAAACCCTGAAGCTAAACGGTGGATGAAGTTGGCCCTGGAGCTGCCAAATGTCACTAAAGAGGTAATACTTAAGACCTTTACATTATGTGACCCTTTCAGGAAAGAATATCTTCCCTTGAGGTCTTATTTCCTCCTTTTGCATGTGGGCTGTTTCGTATACATCTCACCTAGGGGAGGAGACAGATTTCGTAGGTTCCAGGCTCTTCTGGGAAAGTAGGAAAAAGACTATGATAACAGCTTAGCAAGGAAGCAAAGGGTCCATTCTCAGGTACCAATGGTTTTGGAAATGCTGGCTTAGATTTTGAGTCCTAGTCTTATTCTCTTGTCTCCCTAGGATTCAGCTTTCCAGAAGGACCTGGAAGAATTGGAAGTAATTTTAGGAGAATAATCACATTTCAATGGCCTTCCTGACTTGAGGGGAAAAAAAATCAAGTCTTTTTTCTCTTAGACTCTGCTTAGATCAGGAAACTGAGCAAGACTGGTTAAGGGAGTGTCCTGACTCCTAGGTCTGACTGGTACCTGCCACCATTCCCCAACATCTTCTTATTGTCTACTGGTTAACTTATTCTAATCTGTTACCTAATCTGAAATTGGGGAAGTACTTGAGGCCCGGGTTTCTGTTACTCTCTCCATAAAGTGAATTCCATAAAGTGAATTCTTGATCTCCATAAAGTGAATTCTTGAAAAACCAAGACTAGTATAACACCTGCCCTAGGGTACAGTGTGGGTAGAGCACTGAAGGCTGTCTTCCAACGGCTGGTGAGGTGGATGAAACTCTAAAGAGCTATAGGAACAAAACATAGAACTTCTATCTACTCTCTAATCTTTTCCACTGATTAATATTCAACACCAAAGTATATAGTCCTAAAGTCACACCCTAACCTACCCGGATAAAAAGGCGGAGAGTCCATGGGTATCGCCTCTTCTTAACCTATCATGTGGATTGTAACTGTATTCCTGGGCCGAGGGGCTGGACCACTTGACTTCCAGAGTCCTGGCAGCTTTTGGAAGGACAGCAGTGCATAAGGCTTATGAGACTGTGAAAATGATGATCTGAGGAGTTGCCTGGAATATATTTTGGTACAAACCTGAAATTAACTAGACGTGATTATAATCCCCTTTCTATGTTTGTTATAGCTCCTTATTCTTGCTTGACACTTCCATAACAGTTTTCTACTATGAGACTATTGCAGACAAGTAGAAAAACAGTACCAAATAGTTTAGAATAAGCTCTCTGGTTAATAATACTTCCAGAGAAAATTTTAGTTAAATGTAAAACATAAGAAGAGCTTATTTTTAGCCTAAAAAGGCCTAGTCCAACTAAGCAGGTGTTCCCTGACCCTTTCAGGGCCAATAGCACAAAGCCTAATCCCATCTGAAAAGAAAGTCCTCCCTATAAGAAAAATTGAGAAGTTTTTAGGTCAAGGTCACTTAAATACTTTATAGGACTAAAAGATGGAGGTGCTTTTATTTAAGAACCAAGCTTCCATTCCAGAATCTGTTACTGTGGCTTTATTATTTCATCCCAGGTTTGTTCTGTAATGTGGAAATGAAAGAAGGCCTAGGAGGTACTCTGTTCTATAAAGTCAGGGAACAGTTTTTAAAACGAAGTTGCATTAAATTGTATCTTCCTATCTCCCTACATATAGTAGGATCAACACTGGCAACAGCAGAGATTTGCACTGCCTCTCCTAATACTAGCCGAGAAGCCCTTTGAAATTGGAAGAGTTGGTTAGAGCCCACCATCCTGAGTAGAAGTTTGAAGAGGAAGGAGTATCTCAAACCCCTGAAGTAGAAAAATCTGGGCAAGAACCAGCCCCATACAATACAAAACTTAAAGAATAAAAACAAAGGCCACAGGAAAGCCACGGTGTAGCCATCTTGTGAGATCTTCTATTAGGTTAAAGGAGTATAAAATGTATCATCGAATGTGGGACTTCCCTTTTAAATTTTCAATTTTAAAGCAATAAAAACTGATCACCCTACCCAGAGCCAAAACTATATTATGAAGGCCCTATCCTGAAATACTCAGCTTGTACCAGAATAACTCCTACAAGCAGCACATTCACTACAAATAACTACTTTATTAGCAGTCCCACACTGAATCTACTTACTTGAAGAGCTTCCGAAATGTTTAAGATTCCAGAACTATCTTGAATTGCTCTTAGCATTAAAAAAGAGTAGATGGTGAAGGGCTGGTAGCCCAGCAAGCCTACTCAATACCCCTTATCTAAAAAAAAAATTCTTATATAAGCTAATTCAGACACACAAACTCTACCTGCTTCTGATTTAAGAGTTTTACTAGCAGAGAAAAAAAAAAACCTGTGAGGAGACCCACTCCCTTTGCCACATAGCTCAGGCATATTTTTCCCCAACATTATTCAGACAGTGAGAGAAGTCAGGTCTCTCCAGTTTTAGTTCTCTTAGAGACATAAGATTGGCCAATAGCAGTTAGTCCTGAGTCAACCCCAAGGCACTATGATGTCAAAGGTACTTCATACCTATACCCCCAAACCAAAGAATTTACATAGAGATTAATATACTCTAGAAGGAATAAACATTTCAGATCAGCTTGTGACTACTGACCTGTCTCGTGTTTACACCATAAGAAAAGCCGATATAATAGCTGTTTTCCTGGAAGCCTTTTCCTGGCAGTCACAACAGGAAGAGGCCTGTGAAGAACCTCAGGGAGCAGAGTCCTCTCCATTAGGCTGCAGCACTTAAGGTTTATCACAGGAAAAAAAACCAACGATTCAGTCCTTGGCATCTCCTACTCCATCCGCATTGATGGCAAACATAGCTTCAGCTTCAGGAAGACAAGGAGAGTCATAGATTTTGCAGATTCTGGTTTCCCCTCTTCCTTTTCTCAGGTACAGTCTGGGACAAAGACACAGACCAAAGCACCAAAGTTATTATAATTAAAAAATTCTATTCCTGGGCTTCCCTGGTGGCGCAGTGGTTGAGAATCTGCCTGCTAACGCAGGGGACACGGGTTCAAGCCCTGGTCTGGGAAGATCACACATGCCGCGGAGCAGCTAGGCCCGTGAGCCACAACTACTGAGCCTGCGCATCTGGAGCCTGTGCTCCACAACAAAAGAGGCCACGACAGTGAGAGGCCCGCGCACCGCGATGAAGAGTGGCCCCTGCTTGCCACAACTAGAGAAAGCCCTTGCAAAGAAACGAAGACCCAACAGCCAAAAATAAAAATAAATAAAAGGCTCAACATTAAAAAAAAATTATATTCCTGACTTTATAGTAGATCTAAAAATTTTTTAGACATATATACTTCCTAGAAGGACTGTGGGGATCTTTCTGTATTCCTTAGGGCAGGGGTCCCCAACCCCCGGGCCGTGGACCAGTACTGGTCCGCAGCCTGTTAGGAACTGGGCCGCACAGCAGGAGGTGAGCAGAGGGTGAGTGAGCGAAGCTTCATCTGCCGCTCCCCATCGCTTGCATTACCGCATGAACCATCCATCCTGGCCACCCCCCCACTACCCTCGCCCCGTGGAAAAATCATCTTCCACAAAAGTGGTCCCTGGTGCCAAAAAGGTTGACTGAGCCTGATCTGGAGCCTGTGCTCCACAACAAAAGAGGCCACGACAGTGAGAGGCCCGCGCACCGCGATGAAGAGTGGCCCCTGCTTGCCACAACTAGAGAAAGCCCTTGCAAAGAAACGAAGACCCAACAGCCAAAAATAAAAATAAATAAAAGGCTCAACATTAAAAAAAAATTATATTCCTGACTTTATAGTAGATCTAAAAATTTTTTAGACATATATACTTCCTAGAAGGACTGTGGGGATCTTTCTGTATTCCTTAGGGCAGGGGTCCCCAACCCCCGGGCCGTGGACCAGTACTGGTCCGCAGCCTGTTAGGAACTGGGCCGCACAGCAGGAGGTGAGCAGAGGGTGAGTGAGCGAAGCTTCATCTGCCGCTCCCCATCGCTTGCATTACCGCATGAACCATCCATCCTGGCCACCCCCCCACTACCCTCGCCCCGTGGAAAAATCATCTTCCACAAAAGTGGTCCCTGGTGCCAAAAAGGTTGGGGACCGCTGCCTGAGGGCACTTCCAATCCAGAGGAATGCATTTCTGCTCACCCCCTGCCCCCCAGTGGATTTCCCATATTGAAACCTTTTTAAAAATAATGAGACATCAATTGCTCATATTTATTCTTCCACATATGAGAGGTTTTAATTCCTTTATGAACTAAAAGCAAACACCTGTTCTAACCAGAGCATGACAATTAGGTTAAGCAAGGGCTCCTATGTCTAATTACACAACAGCAGCAGTTAACAAGGTTCAAATGGAAATGTTATCTTCATGTCTATTGCACAGTTAATATGACATTCCATGATGAAGCCATCTCTCCCATCACTTTACCTTGTTGTTGAGGCATGAGCAATGATATTTCCTCCAATAGGTTTTTTAGGATCTGCAGCAAACATGGCTGCTCCATCCACTTGGGCTACCACCTGGTTGGTGATTACCACTGCTACACCAAACTGACAGGGAAAGGATAAATGTCATTATTTTGTGGTCAGACATTCCAAGAGACTGCTGCCACCCCTATCCCCCACAAAGCAATGAATGATTGAAGTCTCTATATCTGATGTCTTGATGATACCAGGCCCTGGTATCCTGGCCTCCCAGCAAGGCTACCAGAATTCATGGCCCCTGAAAGTAGGCATTCTCTGTCCCTACCCCACAACTTACCTCATCAGCAAGTCGCAGAAGCATCCGCAGAAACCTGGCCAAGTGCATCTGCCTGGCAGAAAGCTCACCTCGACCCGAATAGTCTGTTCTGTAGAGGGCGGTGGCACTGTCTACAATTAGCAGTGCATACCTACAGGGAACACAGATTCTCTGAAGCCTGTTTTCTAGCCCATGTCAGATTCTGCTCTTTCCCATTACCCTGAAATTTTATAGTTATATATTATTTATTTATACAGCATCCATTTCTGAATAACCCTATAACAAAGTAAAAAATTCCAACAAGTTCAGGTGGATTATAGCTTCATATTTTAAAAGTGACTTGACCTAAACGACAAAGAGTGGCAAAATAGGAACTAAAACTTAAATCTCCCCATATCTAATTCAAGCTACTATCAAATTGGCCACATGTACAAGATTCAGGGTAAGGGCTCTGGGAACATATTCAGTATCTTCTATTGCCCACATACCTGGACTCTACCATCATGGCTGACGCTTGATAAAGGAGCTGGGTCTGGTGGTCTGTGTTGAACCCTCGAGCATATGCTACATTATCCAGGACATCACTGCCAGAGAGGCCATATCTAGAAGAAAGAACATTTTGAGGCTGCACACAGAACTAAGGCAGATGAGAAATTCATCTCTTAACAACGAAATTACCTGGATGGGTAGGTAA